TATTTCAGTCACGAAAGTTGGCGAATAAGTAAGACGTAGCTGAACTATCCAGCGACTCCAAACTAATAGCTGGCAAAAAAAAAAAAAAAAANTTACATACGCAAGCAGCGCTTTTCTTTGTTTGCCAAGATATTTTTTCGCAAATATTTGCAATTTCACTTTACTTCGCTTGTTGGCTGTGCGAAACAAAGAGACTAGAAGGAAGTGCAAGTTGGAGTGCAGCATGTTGACGGCAGAAAAAAAAAATATTTTTTTTTGATGTATTTGGTCTGTCAGCGACGGTTGTTAGTTATCTCATTCGCGTTTCAAAGTTCTCACTGCTTTGCCATTTTATGCATTCCTTGTTCGCTGCTGTCTACAAATTGATTAAGATCTGACGCGTTTTGTATTAACTTTCAAACTTATTTATGTATATTTCAGTCACGAAAGTTGGCGAATAAGTAAGACGTAGCTGAACTATCCAGCGACTCCAAACTAATAGCTGGCAAAAAAAAAAAAAAAAANATAAAAAATTCAAAATTTTTGGAAAAAATTTGTCATAAGTATAGTTTCGTTTTTATATAATGTGACTCTAACCGTCAACTTATTCAGAATTCGTTATATATAGGCGTCTGCTAACGGGACTCTAACCGTCAACATATTCCGATGCTCGTTCTTCGTTATACAGTGACTCAACAAATGACCACGTGATGATTTTTTTTAAATATTCGTAATGTTTTTCGAGCTATTTTTTTTTGGTATTTTTCTACATATAAAATACCGTCCAAGCTTTAACAAAAACATATATGTAAATCACAGTTTCAAACTTTATACAAAATTTAGGAAAATTCAACATATTTTCATCAAAATTTCAATATTTTTGGGTAAGTATGCAGTGCAAGTTTCAACCGGCTAAAAAGTCTGGTTGATTTTTGAAAATCTTTTTTTTTTGGAGACTATTTTAGCGTTTTTTTTTTTATATAACAAGTGCAATTTATAAAAACGGGCGTTGATTTTTGGAAATTTTGTTGCTCACAGTCTCCCACATTTTGAAAAAAAAATAAAATGCAAAAACCCGTCGCCAAAAAAATTCTCAGAAATCAACGGTATTTCTTGACTGTTTAAAACTACACTCCATTAGACTAAAATTTTATGGGTTATAAAATTGTATACCGAAAAATGTTCTAAAGATTCAGATTAAAAAGTGGAAATTTTGATAAAATTTGGTTGAATTTTCCCTAATTTTGTATAAAGTTTGAAGATGTGGTTTATATGGTTTAAAGCTTGGTCGATATTTTTACAGAAAAATAACAAAAAAAAAATAAAAATACGAGTATTTAAAAATATCAACACGTGGACATTTGTTTGAGTCACTGTATCTATGAACCATTTTTGTATGGAAAACTTCGCAACAACGTAGTTTTTTCGAGGGTTCATAAAAAATTTTGGGTGAGAAAATACCTTTCCAATGATACCCCACAAGTCGAAATCGGAAGAGTTTAGGTTCAGTTATTCAAGTTTTTCTTATACCAGTCTTTGAAAAAGGTAAAAAAACTGCATCAAAAATCTCATAATTACGATTCCATTTAACATTTTTTTTTTAATATTTGTATGTAAATTTTTTAATCTTAAACCGTTTTGGCATTTGAGGTGACTTTTTCAAAAAAACATCTTTAAGAAACTATTTTTATTCATAAAAACTCCATTTTTGGAGATATTTTCAAATCGGTCCAGCTCGCTTAAATCTTCATATTTTTCCGAAATATTTTGGTGGACTTCTTAAAATATAATTGATTTTATAACTCCAATGGAAAAACAGTACCTATTTTTTTGTATGGGGAGTGATGCNCCAATCATATCATCAAGTCCATTTTTATCAAGCAGCTTTTAAGGAAAATTTCCTTTAATACCAAATCTTACCTATATTGATTCTCTATCTCAGTATGCATAGTTATCGCCAAAACTAGGCTTGGCCATTCCATCCGAATTTTTTTACTATCCGGATAATCCGGATAAAAAAAATTAACGGATATTAACCGGATATGTGGTTATATAGTTTACAAAATTAACGAATATTAATCGGATTTTCGAATCTAGAAATTAACAATCAAATAATTAAGCTTTCTTTTATTTATTCTGTAATTCGATAGATCCGCACCAAACTCTTGAACGTTGTTCAAGAATAAAGCGATTCATTTCGTTCCGCGGAGATGTGATATTGACTTTCTGACAAGATATGCAGTGGGAAAGAGCAATGTCAAAATAACACATGATTAAAAAAAAAACACTATATGGACCACCCTTACATCCCAATCTCACAAATTGCGCGATTATCGCTGGCGCCACTCACAAATTCGAGTTAGCTGGATTTCCTAGGTTTCAAAAGCTTTCCTGCATTTGTCTGCTGCAAGAACGATGTTTTATTGTTGTCAGTTTTACTTTTACTTTACTTTGAAACCTTAGACCTCGTAATGCTATTTCTGCTATTGGTATTGTGGCTTTTATTTTTTGCCTGCGCTGCTGATAAGCCAAGCAGTAAATTCATGTTTTTATTTACCTTTCACTTCGTACGTACATAATTGCCAATTGTGTTGATGTTGTAGATATTTTGGCCAAATAAATCCAACAGCAAACAAACAATTGTTGCGGCGCTGCGCCTCTTTCTTCTTGCTTTTGAACTATTTAGACCACGACGAAATAGAAGAAAGCAGCCTGCGGAAATACCAACAAAATCATTTATTTGTATGGGTTTTTTTTTCGGCATTTTGTTTTGCTTTTGAGATTTGTTAGCCAATCCTAATTACTTGTATAAACTATGCACCTCACCTGTGAGGGTTGTTGGTTGGCGTTGTGGGAATTCAAAAATATTTACATAGCTAATACATTTGCATACAAATAGTACGTACAAATAAATACCAATAATTGCACTTGTAATGGGAAAACTTTCGTGTGGCCAAAAAAAAAAAAAAAGTTTCAAAATTTTGTGGCAAGAAGCAGCGGTTAACTTCCCCTTTTACTACTCAATACATATACAAATATATATGTATGTACATACATAGGTCGTACCATGACAACAAATTAAAAAAATAAATCGATACTCATACGCTTGGTTGGCTGTCGCTGACCGGCAGTTTTGTTGTTATATGTACATATGTAACTTAAATTTGTTTCTTTTATTGGCGCAATGGTAAAACCCTATTCAAGGTCAGTGCTAAAGAGGTGTTTGTCGTCGTTAGGCACATCGACTGTCTTCTTCGTTTGGTTTTTTGTTTGTTTTTTTTTCCCTTACACAATCGATTACTTGTGGTATGCGAGTGTAGAATCTTTTATTTGTGAACATGTGTGTGTGTTTATAAATTAATGCGTTAACTTTCGTAGATATACTATTTGATTTTTATGTTTTTGTTTGCTTTGCCCGAATGACCTTCCGCTTTGCTTAGTTGTGGTTACGTATTTATTTATTTTGTTTTATTTTTCATTGTTTTTTCTTTGTAACTTTGTGGTTTTGTGTAGATTGTGCATTTCTTTTGGCCTTTTACGGCCCCAGGGCGTTGTTATACACATACACGTACATCAATGGTAGCAAAGTTATTTGCATTTATTTTTTCATACTTTTGTGTCTTCTTTAATTTTTGTCGACGAACGGAAAATAATGTGCACATTAGGCCGTACCACTTTACAAGCAAATTAAATAATAATAAAAAAAAAATTGCCGTACACCCCGGAGTCGTAAAGTATTTTTGCAAGGCAATTTCGAAACATTTTTTTTTTGGCCGAACCCAGGGTTCGTCTCTTCACAATTTTTCGGTGACACCTACCCTGTGGTCAGCTGATTTAGTTAAGTGACATTAGGTTAGGGTTTTTGTTGAAAATTTCAAGACCCTACCCCCTAATTTTATGAGAAATATTAATGCCTATTTTAATAGCTTTTTTAAAGGTCATTTAGTCAGTTTAGGTCAGAAAATACGATTTTTTTAGATTTATGAGTTTTTGGATCATTTTTTTGATTCGATTTCAAAGATCGAACATGATCTGAAAAGAGGATATATAGACCTTTAAAATGGTAATCTATTGTCGGACTTGGCTTGTTGGTACTTTTTATGGGGAAAAATGAAAAAAAAAACCATACTTTTAATTTTTTAAATTTTGACCATCGATAATTTCCATAATTTGAAAATATGCAGTACTATCTAAAATTGAATCTATTTTTAAACAAACTGATGGCTCGTTTATTCCAATCGCATAAAAATTGTCGAAGTTAGGCGACTTTTCTTAAATACGGCCTTGAATTTATATGTCAGAGCTATTAACTTATTAATTATTTTGCTCAAATATTACTTGTTTTATTTTATTGTATTTTATTTTATTGTATTCTATTTTATTTTATGTTGTTTTATTTTATTTTATTTTATTTTATTTTATTTTATTTTATTTTATTTTATTTTATTTTATTTTATTTTATTTTATTTAATTCTATTTTATTTTATTTATTTATTTTATTTTATTTTATTTTATTTTATTTTATTTTATTTTATTTTATTTCATTTCAAAAAAGCAAGTATCGTGTTTTTGCACTGATTTTCTTTATTTCTTTGTGTCTTTCATATACAAATTTAAATCTTTTGATCTTGTTTTTATTACTGATCTTTCCTGCGCCTTAAATGTCACATTTATCGAAATGTATGCCAAAATTTCTTTTGACATCAATTAATTTTGTTGTAAATTGTAGGTCTATAAATATATCTAAATTTGTCTGTTGCTATTTATACACCTTTCCTTACATTTTGAAAATTATTTTACATCGTTTGTAATTTTATCTACATCATTCGCATATAATTTTTTTAATAGAGGATACAAATTTTACAAAAAAAAAAATATGTATGTATACATATGTTTTGTACATATATGTTACCCTATATGCACACAGCTGAATACACCAAAAAAACTTACTAATGAGCTTTTCTATTATTTTTAAGTTGGCACAAAATTTATTAAAATAATTCCTTCTCTCTCATTTACAGCAAACATTCCTCAGTTCTTCGGATACGGATGATGAACCTATAAAACAACTGCCAAAAGAAATTCTTTTACGTATATTCTCCTATTTGGATGTGGTGTCTTTATGCAGATGTGCACAAGTAAGTTGCAAAAAAAAATTAAAATATGAAAATGTTTATTTTGATTTATAGTGAAGAGTGCTAGGAAAGACGAACATACGCCAAGCAGATGATTTAACAGAATTATGCAAAATTGTGAGATATACAAAAAAAAAATCATAAAATTTATTGCATTTGTGTAGGCTAGTTTTATTAAAACTCAGAAAACAGAAAACGCGAATACCAAAAACGATTACAGTTTAATAATAACCATTTAAGTTCCGTGCGGAAATCGGCTGGCTTTCTCAAACTACTGTAATTATTAGTTTAGGTAGCTGTAGACAAATAGGCGGCTGCTTTCTATCGCTTCCATTTATAACCGTTAAATTTGAACTTCTCTGTGCTGCCTCGCAAATCGCTGTTCATTAAGCCACGCCACGTCACTTTGCGTCGCTCAATATTTAAATTGTTGCTCTTTAACGCATATTTATTATTTCCGCTATGCTTTGCAAATAAAAAAAAAAGCAAAAAAAAAAACAAATTTAATAAAGAAATATGTAGATATATTTTATTATAGGCATGTGGAACTTTACCTGCTCGGAATTGCCGATGAAGATATTAATGCTGAGCATTCATCACATTTCGCACATATTTTTTTATTTTTTTATTTTTTTTTTGGTCTATCAAATTGTNAATTTTCTTTTTTTGCAGCGTCACTGTTTGAGTCGTCTATTATTTATCAGCTGTTGCGATCATTTATTAAAATGTGTACTCTTTGCTCTTTGCCTTTTTTCTGTTTGTTTATACTTTTTAACTACTTGAGCGTAGTGGCAGTTAAATTTGATTAGTATTATTTTTTTTTTTACTCTTTCACAAAAAGTTAACTCTTTTTTTCGAAGTAAACTCAACCGATTGGTTCACTGAAAAAGATTAGAATTTGTATTTCTTTGTCATTGACAGTGTTTCTTTTGTACATTTGTATATTGTGCTTACCCTGCAAACCATTTTTTCAGAGTATTCTGAATAGTAAAGAAATTTTAACGAATTCGGAAAGATCCCATCCGATTTTTTTCCGAATTTTCTAAAATGAAATAAATTACGCACACTTCCATTCTTTTACGAAATTTCGGAAGAAAATCGGTGAAGAAATGAAAATAATGCTGCTATGTGAAGAATTTCTTGCAGACTTTTTTCAGAATTTTCTTTATTTTTCGTACAGAAATTTCTTTACGAGTTCGTGTCAACCACTTCATATAATTTTCTTTGAAGATTCGGAAAAAAATCGTTACAGAAATCAGATACTCCTAAAGATTTCGTTAAGAATTCGGGAACTTTGGTTTGCAGGGTATATACAGTAAGTAAAGAATTCTAAATTTTCTAAAAATTAAATATACTGTGTACACTTCGATTCTTTTACGAAATTTCGGAAGAAAATCGGTAAAGAAATGAAAACAATGTTGCTATGTGAGGAATTTCTTGCGGCATTTTTTTCAGAATCTTCTTTTTTTCGTACAGGAATTTCTTTACGAGTTCTTATCAACTACTTCATATTGTTTTCTTTGAAGATTCGTAAAAAAATCGTTACAAAATGAGATGCTCCTAAAGATCGTTTCGTTAAAATTTCGGGAACTTTGGTTTGCTGGGTGGGTTCATATTTTTTTTAAATTTAAAGTTGTTCCAAACATGTTTCTAAAAATCGAAATGTAAAATACAGTCGTTCTTGTAGAAGAGTATTCGCGATAAATTGGAAAGTGTTTGCACAATTGAATATGCAATTTCGAAATTTGGACATATCCGAAAACTTGTAGTATTGAGGAAGAAAAACGAGTACTTTTTCCTAGAGTTGTGATCTTTTCAAATATTTTCGGTATTCGCCATGAATACATCAGTAGAATTGATACAAAAATGTACCCTTTACAAACTTAGTAAATACAGAGAAGCATTTTGATTACATTGATATGAAAAAATTTACATATTTATCAAATCATGCGAGGCGTGCCCTGTTTTGAAATAGCACATTCAATTCTATTCGCACAAAATGCGTTTTATAGATTTTCAATATTTTTTCCTACGCAATGTTTCAAGTAGAATGTATAGCCACCGCCATAAGCGATCATTATCTTATTTCCACGAGTCATATTTTGCACTAGTTTCAAGACAAGTTAAAGAATTAGCAAATAAATTTAAGAAAAAATTCTTAGATTTTAAGAAACACTAGATACGTGCAGTTATGTTTAGCAAATTTTATTTACGGTACATGAATAACATATATTTTCTTCATTCCGCTCATACTCTATATTTGTACCGTAATATGCCCATTCTTTTTCTACCTGATCTTACTTATAATATAAATTTATTTATTTATTTCATCCATTCATAAATATTTATTGAATTCGTCTGCTCTAAAGTTGTCGATATGTGTCTGCGTATGCGGTTTCTCCAGGAAGTGAGAATGCCCAAAATTTGTATTGTAAATTTTTCATGCGTCGGCTGCATGCCTTTATTCGAAGTATTGCTTATTTTCAATAGAAATCACCCCGTCTTACTTAAGCTCATTGAAGATATTTATGACGCACAGATGTATGGTTTGTGGTTTTTGGTGTGAACTACACATATGTACATACATTTGTTTATGTCATAACAATTATCCTAGGTAGAATTTTATTATTTCCGTGTAGGTACGCAGAAGTGGTTCGAAAATTGTATCAAGTAATAACAGATTATTTCACCGAAATGTCTGGTAGATATTAGCAAACAATTGTTGCCATTAAATTTGAGCGGCGAGTTAATCACTGCCTTACTCTCAAAACTTGTAGCTTAAGGACTAGTGTGCGAGAAAAGCATTTCAAGGAAAAGGTATTTAAAATTATTGATGTGAAAGCTTCAGCTTTTGTTTTTTTTGAATATGATTTGTAATACATACAGTGGTGGTCACATAATTAGATATACTACTTTTTATAAATTCTGATGATTTATTTTTTCTGTGCTTATTTTTTTTTTACAAAAATGTAATTTATACTACAACGAAAACCATGTAACTCAATGTTTCTAACCTTGTACCAGTTTCATAAAAATTCGCAAAATTCAAAAAAAAGGTCGTAAAAATTTCAAACTATTGCATCAAAATTTATACTGCAGTTTTATAGGCCATTAAATTTTGTGTAAAATATTATTCATATTTTAGGCGGCTAAAAATTCGCATTGATTTTCGAGATTTTTTTTTTTGTTGACGGTGTTGCTAATTTTCGTACATGTATGTAAGCGAATTTTTTACAATACGGGCAATTATTTTTCAAATATTTTATTTTTCGCTAATTTTTTATAAAAATATAGTTACTTCTACAACAAAAACCCCAAAAATCAGAGTTTCAAACCTCTTGCAGAATTAAGGAAAATTATGCTAAATTTCATTCAATTACTGCACTTTTTATTTACGCTCTCTAGAAAAAAGTTGAGTATGCAATTTTTTAGCCCATTCAATTTCAGTATAACAAAGTGCAAGTTTGAGGTAGCTACGACTTACCATTGATTTTATGCAATAAAACTTCTCAAAAGTGTCCTGTCTTTCCAATTCATCGGCTCTGCAGTTTCCTGCAATATCTTCACGGTCTGAAACTAATATGGCCGCCTGACTATCGGAACATATGTTCACATCCTTGACTGGTTTTACAATCCTGTCAGCTTCTCTGATTGGTCCATCGATGCGAGGTGCATATTTAACAAATAAATTGCCAAAACGAGATCGAGAGAAGTACAGTTGGGTTTCGCCATGCACCTTGCAGATTTATTTAGTTGCCTGCGTTTCGCTTCCTCTTTTCTTGAAGTAGAACTTCAATATCTCTTAATTATGCGCTTTTTGGCAAATGGTAAGTAGTTCATATGGACTTTTTATCGGTTCCAAGCGAACTGCAGACCTTTATTATAACCTTGAACATATCAAAATCCAAAAACGCTATAATCCATATCGTCACTTTTGATACTTTCGTCGACGCTATGCGTTTTTTTTTGCTGCCATCGAGTTTTGCTGTTCGCCATAATTTTACTTCTTTTTATTTCGCTTAGTCGCCATAAATGCATATTTATGAGCAAAGCGATTGATTTTTGTTGTTTTTTTTGTTCGTGGTTGGTAGTTTTATGATTATTAAATAATAGGGGTATTCTTTTGAGTCTTACAAAGCGTTTGCATGGTGCACGTATTGTACGGTTTGCAAAGCTGTCCCATACGAAAACCGCTTTTTACCGTGCAATCGGTGCACTGTGCAGAGAATACCCCTAATGATTACATGCAGTGCAGGTTCGCAGAAGTAATATATATATGTACATACCCTTCGGCGGGGTCGTTGACAATTGTCGCTTTCGTACTAGTTACATTACTAGTTCCAATAGCATATTATGCTCCAGGTAGTAAGAAATCGAGCTATATTGATTACATATTACACCTTTTAAATGTTATTGGTCGTTTTAATGTGATAATGCTCTCTGATTACATAAACGAATTTGTTATTTGCCATTTAAATGTAAATAATAAATTTTGAATACTTATCCATGTTCAGTTTCTCTCTTGTGACCACCACTGAAATATCGAATTGAAAAGTACCAAATTAAAGCAATATATAACTACTACTTTTTATTTAATTTTTTTGTTTCTTTTCAAATCTGTTTATATATAAGCAGGCAGAAAATAAGAAAAATAATTCGAAAACTATGATTTATATAGATTTTTATACGGGCTATACGATGGTAACATGCGTTTTCCGAAATTTTCCATTTTCATGGTGAAAATTCTGAACGAAAATTTATTTGTAATTTTTCTCAATTATGGTAATTTTTTCCTTAGATAGTCATCTACAATAATGTTTTAAAACAAACATTTTTTCTCAAACTTTATAACACAACTTTTGCATTTGAAAACAAACGCTCTCTTAATTAATTGTCACCTCCTAGGATTGTCAAATGCGACAGTAGAAAGCATGTGTGGTAGATTTGCGAGGTATCGGTATTCGACACGCGAAAACTGGTGAATTCACTAGTTCTGTACTAGT